GTCTATATCTTGATTGGACTTGTAGCTAAGCCCACCATTCCAATTCTACTTCGTTGATCTTTTAGTTCCTGCCTTGATTTAAATTTTCCTGCCTCATTTATGATGTGTTTATATGTGGTGGCTTTTCTTTGATTAAAATAGTTCGGGTGGACTAAAGCTTTTCTGAGGGCACAAACAAATCCATGCAATCCCTCCCAACAGACTGGGAAGAGCACACTCATCCACCAGAAGCCAAAAGGACAAATTCCCCACCAAACCTATTTTTAACAGGGGCTTCCCAGGGCTTCCCTCCCATCTGCATCCAAAGTCCTTTCATAGTTTGACCGGAGCAACGTATGGGGACCGCAGGCCACAACACCCGAGTTCCCAAGGAAGAAAATCCAGATGTCTCTCTCCTTCTCCCCCCACAACCTGTTTTACAAATGCGCCAAATGTGTTTCACAGGGAGGCCTGGAACTCAGCAGAAGCTGTGCAAGAGGAAGGAAGGAAACTGCAAAAAAAAAAAAGAAAAGGAAGAAGGGATGAAAGAAAAAGCAGGAAGGAAGGAGGGAGGGAGAAAGGACGAGACATAGTTGGAAAATGTTCCAGCTTGGGGGGTTGATTACAGATGATTAATGATGTCTAAGGGCCAATTAAAGGATAACTCTCATATCCTCCAATCTGGCAACAATATCGAGGACTGTTTTGATGTTAGTTTTATAGGGAACAGGGATACCCATTCCACCCTTCTTGCAATCACAGGAACCGAGACTTTTCAGCAATTGTGGCCCAAGATGGCTTCAAGAACCACAATGAGGTTTCGTGGATGCTGGAACCTGTTTCTGAACTAAATCCAGAAGCTGCTTCTGTCTTCTTCATAGCTCCTGGGGCCAGTTATTAACAACCCAATAAAGTCTGACACTTAGGCAAGAAAAACCAAAAGGACACATATAGACTGGGTGAAACCAGGCTCAGTAGCAGGAACTGTGAGAGGGATCTTGGAGTCTTAGTGGACAACCAGCTAATTAGGAGCCAGCAGTGGGCAGTAGCAGCCAAAAAAGCCAATGCAATCCTAAATTGCATTAACAGAGGGATACAATCAAGATCAAGGGAGTTACTAATACCACTCTATAAAGCTTTAATAAGACCACACTTAGAGTACTGCATCCCATTTTGGTCACCACACTATAAAAAAGATGTTGAGGCTCTCAAAAAAATGCAGAGAAGAGCAACCAGGATGATGAGGGGACTGGAGACTAAAACATATGATGAACAGTTGCAGGAACTGGGCTTAGTTAGTCTAGGGAAAAGAAAGACCAGGAGAGACACGCTAGCAGTCTTCCAGTATTTGAGGGGCTGCCACAGGGAGGAAGGGGTCAAGCTATTTTCTAAAGCACCCAAAGGCCAGACAAGGAATAATGGATGGAAACTGAACAAGGAGAGATTCAATCTAGAAATCAGGAGAAACTTTCTGACAGTGAGAGCCATCAACCAATGGAACAGAAGTTGCCTTCGGAAGTTGTGGGAGCTTCACCACTGGAAGCTTTCAAGAAGAGACTGGACTGTCTTCTGTCAGAAATGGTGTAGGGTCTCCTGCCTTGGGGGGGGGGGTTGGACTAGATGACCTCCAAGGTCCCTTCTACCTCTGTTAATCTGCTAGCTGGGTGGGGAATTCTGGGAGCTGAAGCCCACCTAACTTAAAACTCGCCACCAAGTTGAGAAGCAATGCTTTAGAAGTTTAGCACAAACTGATCTGGAGCTGATTAGCATCCTGCAGTCCATCTGAGAAGGATGTGAATTTTAATCCCAACACACTGATGGGTGCCCCAGGTTGGGAAAGCAGATGTTGCGGAATAAAACACAAAGAGAAGCCTAAGCTTGCAAGAATTCTGTTTTACATATATAATAGAAAAGAAACAGTGGGCAGAAAGATCCCCTTCTTCACCCAGAAGGGGAAGTCAGCTTTCTTTGCCGAAAACACAGAAAGAATTTGTTGGAACCCCCACCCCCGCCCCCGCCTCCCAGGATAATAAATATAAGCTTTGTCTTGAAGAAGCATGCCCTGACTAAACACGACGAAGTAGCCAGGAGGTCCCTTTTCTGCCAAACTAAAGGACTGTGGATGTCAGGAAACGAAGATTTTGTGCTTCAGCCATAAGGGGACAACTTTCTGTCAGCCAGAAGATGCTGTTTTCTAGGATTGCATATGCACAGCTGGAAAAACCCAGAAATCCCCGCAGACGATCTTATAATCAAAAGAATTCTGGAATGTGCAGAGATGGATAGGTTAAAAATTAAAGGAAAAGAAGATTCGGATTACTTCATAACATGAGAACTATTCTATAAATGCTTACAGGACAGATATTGAGGTTAGGGGAGTGGGATTAGGTGAAACATGCTTTATAGACAAAAGAAGAGCAGATGAATAAATATTTCTGACAGTTATATAATCAACATTATAATGAAAGATAATATAATATGATTGATGTTATCCTATTTGCTTATATATTACATATATATATATATATATATATATATATATTCATAACGATGTTTGTATATTAACATCTTGGACACCTAGAGAGCACACTGCTCAACATAGAAAGAAAACGTATTATATAAAATAATAAAAACATATTTGAAAAAAAGAAGATGCTGTTTTGGTATTTTTTAAAGGCTACTCTGTTTTGAGAGTGGGTAGGATCATAAATTTCTCTTTGAGGAAGAGGAAAAACATAAGATCCTACCTACTCTTTGTCCTTAACTAGAAAGAAATGGAAGAAATATTTTTTCTTTTAAAGAAATGACAAGGGTGCACTGACCCTTTGCAGGGCTGGTACACACATTTTGCTCCTTCGAAGTATTTCATCATCTCCAAACCCAAGCAGGATATTGTCTAAAAGAGGTTCTGGGGGGCCTGCATAGGAACTGACCATTGCTGACTCTGAATTAAAAGAAGCAGCTATTGATCTAGAATCAATGGAAGCAAGCTGGCTGAGAAATTCTGGGAGCAGAAATCCACACAAATAAAAACTGCTGAGATTGAGAAATTACACCTCAATATTGTAGAAAGTTAGCACCCACTTCTCTCCTAGAAGAATGAAATATTTTAGGAAATGTTAAAAAGGCAGAATATTATATTTCCCCTAAAAGAGAAATTCAAAAATCTTAAGGGAGACAGAAACTCAGAGCCCCTGCTCCCAGAAGATATTTTGTGCCCATTAAGAAAGACTGGGCCAGCCTATCTACAAAACAAAATACCTTCAGCTCCAGGATGAAGGGCTTAAGACATGACCCTTCAGGACATAATAGGATCAACCCACTAAGAGCTCATCTCATTGCACAGTCTCCTAAGGACATTGCATCACCCTCCAAACTTCAACCAAACTTAGCTCAGACAACCAATAGAGCCAGCTATGACCCCTACACGACCTCTACAACAACCAATATAATACATGTCCTTGCACAGGAACAGGAAACTGAAGTGCAAAGCCCAGAGAAGGTATAAACACCTCCCCTACTCTCAACTCCATGTGGCCAGCTGCCCAGAACCACACGTGCTTGGTGGTTCTGTTCATCGTCAAACCATCTTTCCAGTCAGCTGCCAGCCTCCATTTTTTCTCCAGTGCCAACATTATCATATAGGAATATGCATGAATAAGACTTTTATAAAGTGTGTAAAATGCTATCTAGGTGACACTTTTCTGCTTATTTAACCGGACTGGCTAATCTCTCAACCAGTGTTTCTCAACCTCCACAGCTTAAAATTGGGTGGACTTCAGCTCCCACAATTCCCCAGTCAGCCGCTTCCACTGGGTCTATACAGGTAGTCCTCGACTTACAAACAGTTCACTTAGTGACCAAGGTTGCAATGGCACTGAAAAAAGTGACTTACGACCCGTTTTCACACTTATGACCATTGCAGCATCCCCCATGATCATGTGATCAAAAATTTGGAAGCTTGGCAACTGATTCATATTTATGACGGTTGTAGGATCCCGGGGGTCAAGTGATTCCCTCTCGCGTCCTTCTGACAAGCAAACTCAGCGGGGAAGACAGATTCACTTAATGATTGTGCAACTAAATTTCACAACTGCAGTGATTCACCTAACAAACGTGGCAAGGAACGTCATAAAATGGGGCAAAACTCCCTTAACAAATGTCTCATTTAGCAACATGCATTTTGGGCTCAATTGTAGTTGTAAGTGGAGGACTACTTGTCTTAGATTTATTCCCCCACCTGACTGGCTGGGGAATTCTGGGAGTTGAAGCTTCAAGCCAAGGTTGAGAAACCCTGTTGCAAACCCAGATCTAAGTGTCCCTTTAGCAAGAAGGACCCAACAGGAAACGGGGCACTCCTGCGTTGGTTGATTTCCTTAAAGAACACAGATCACCTTGTTGTAAAAGGAGGAGGAACCTGCGACAAGACGAAAATGTAAATTTTTTAGTCTTAAGAAAAGCATAAATGTCAACTCATAAAACATTCCTATGCCTGTTTTAGTAGTTACCATAAAAAAAGGAGGGTGGGGGGAGGAAGGAAATCTGGAAGAGCCGTGCAGCAGTTTGAAATCGAAAGTACATTCCAACTCTTTATCTTTAAAAGATTCTAACTAAACTACCAGAGCTTTTGTCCCTGAATATATTTAATTGGAGAACGTGATTGATGACACTCAGCCTGTGAAAGTGCTCAGTTGGAGAATTTGCTTTATGACACACCCGGGGGGAGAGAGGGAAACAGGGTCACAAGGGACTGTAAATGACGTAGGCCAGAGTTGGCGTCATACAGGGCAGTGCCAGCATGTCGCCTCTAATGAATCCTTTGAAGTTTTTTGAAGTTTGGCTCGAGAATCATGATTTAATTAGAGTGATTGTTGGAATCCATTTGGCTTTGCTTCAGCAAGCAAGACCGCAGATGTATTTCAGCTTCCTTGGCTAAGCCCAGCCTTGCCCAGAGGCAGACAGGGCAGGGTGCAGGATAGGGGTGGGGTGGGGTGGGGTCTTCCCGCGTGACAGCCACTTACAACGTGCCGTGGAACCCGGCTTGGCAGAGGCACCTCCCGGTCTCAAAGTGGCACTCCCCGTTAAAACAGCTGCTGCAGACGAAGGCACAGTTCTCGCCGTAAGTCCCGTTGCGGCATTTGGTCTCGCACCTGGGAAAAGGGCAAGAAGACAAACACAGGGTAGTGGAGGCTGGGCTTCATCCAGGGGTTGGCTTTGCGGTGCTGGCTGCAGGAGCCCAGGGCATTTTAGGTTTTAGAAAGAGTCCGCATAGTCATTCCCCACTCAGTATCAAAAGATGCAACAATATTACGTATCTGGGGGCGCAGATAATTAACGATCTGAGCAGGTCTCTCCACACATCGTCCTTGGGGATGCGTGCAAACTGGTCCCTGCATTTTCTGCATCGGATGAGGAGGGCACCTCTTTCTCCTTCACTTCTGGCCACTTTTTACAGAGGCACGATTGAGAGCGTTTTAACAAACTGCCTCCCTGTTTGGTTTGATGGCTGCAGTGCCTCCAATAGAAAGTCTCTACAGTACAGCTGGCGTCGCGATGATACGGCATGCGATCTTGGAGGTCTGCGATCGCTGATGATATCTTTGCTCCTGGACGGTCCTATTGGATCTAAACCATCCTGAAGAGACGGTGAATGTAAAGAGCGCATCCTGTCGATCCCAGGGATACCGCAAAGTCCCTGGTAGATCCAGGAGAAGCCCTTCTTGCCAGTGGCAAAGAGGCAGCCATTAAAGCTGCTGAAGTTGGGACAGCTCCGAAACGGAAGAGAGCAGAAAGAGAGAGTGTGCCGGTTTGGTGAGAACTTTTTCTTTACTTTAAGATTTGAAAGGACACCCAAAGGAAAAGAAAGAATCTGTAAAAGTTTTGACAGAAGTGATTAAGCAGCGATTTTAAACAGGAATGTCAAAGTAATGTTTTGTTTTGTTTTTCTCATTGCTGGATCTTCTATATATGATCTTCTGTTTTGAAACTGAACTGGTTTTTTCGTTTATATCTATTTTTTTCTTCTCCTTTTTGATTTTGTAATATTATAGGCTAGAGGCTCCCTTTAGTTATTTCATTTTTTAAAAAATATCTTTTTCTTTTTTTATTAATTCTTATTATATCCTGCTCGGAAAAGGAGGGAGAAAGTGAGAGCAAAGAAACTTTGTAACACTGCCAACTAGAGGCTTGGAAATATTCTATTTCCCTGTGACCAGACAAAGCTGAGAAAGAAAGAACTGAGACTCTTTTTCAAGGACATTGTCATTTGATAAGATAGAGGGAAGAGCATGGGAGAGTATTATTGCAGGTGCTCTTCTGGGTTTCTATCAACAGCTGGAGTCTGGTGTTGAAACTGAGGGGAAAAAGGGTGACAAGTTTTTGGAGAAGAGAGTTATAATAAGAGCCATGGATAATCAAACGAAGTGCAGTGTGCCCTTTTTACTTTTCCTAAGTTGTGCTATCCCTTCTCACCAGCTTTATTGTATTTTTTAAAATCTTTTTTTTGTAATAACTATTTGGGTTTTTGGCTTCATTGGAGCTTGTCTTTGTTTTTCTTTCTTTCTTTGTTTGGGGGGCGGGGGGGGGAAAGTCCAATCTCTACGTTTGCTTTTTATTTTAAAGGGAAAGCCTTAAAAGCCTTTTTTCTTTCTTTCCTGGTATTTTTGTTTTTTCATCTACCTTTCTGGTTTATTCTTATGCACTTTTTTCTATTTGAGACCTTTCAATTGGATCAAGGTGTTGAAGAACCTGAAGAATTTTTCCTTTTCCTTTTTTTCCTTTTTCTTTTTTTTTCTTAAGTTTTTTTCTTTATCTAACTGTTGATTGGATTAAGGTATACAAGAACCTGAAGAAATTTTGTCCTCCTTTTTTATTATTATTGGGCTTCTTTTTTCTACTATTTTTATTTTGAACTATAATTGGTTGCTTCGCAATTGGATTAAGGTTTAGAAGAACCTGAAGATATTGAATTGCTTAAAATGAGTAGGAAATTTACAGCTCCTGGTTCTTCAACTTCTACGTCTTCCTCTCCACCATCTGAAGGACAACGTTCAATACAGACAATGTTAAAGCAAGAAAAAGAACAAGAAAAAATGACTCTGAAGATGATTATGCAAGGAATTCAAAATATTCAAGCAAGATCAGAGAATATTGAAAAGGGAATAGAGAACATTGAACAAAGAATAGAGAACATTGAACAAAGAACAGGGAAAACCAATGAAAAAGTGGAGAACATCCAACAAATGATATTGAAGTATGATGAGAGATTCCAAAAAATTGAAGAAGATAAACAAAGAGACAAGAAGATTGGAGATATTGATAATAGATTAATGGTGGTTGAACAAGGTAAAAGTGGTATGTTGAGATGGGAGATGGATAGATCAGAATTCTATCTTAGATTCCAAAACGTAGAGGAAGAAAAAGGACAAAACTTAGCTGAGATAATGATAGAAATACTGGCTGAAGCTTTGAAAATAACTCAAGAGAAGATGATGGATGGAATAGATGAGGTTTATTGAGTTTTCACAAGATATGCAATGAGAACTAGCTTACCAAGAGAAGTTCACATTAGATTTACAAAGACAGCCATTAAAACGCAAATATTGCAAGTGGCAAGAGAGAAAACATTGAAATATAAAGACAAGGAGATTGTGGTCTTGAAACAAATACCCAGAAGAGTGAGAGAGATGAGAAGAGAATATCGATTCTTGACTAAAATGCTACTTAAAAAAGAGGTGAATTATAGATGGCTGATTCCAGAAGGTTTAATGTACATGGCAAGAACAGAGACATAGAATTGACTCAATTGAGAAAGCGGAATTATTTTATACAGAATTTTTTGGAAGGAAAGAGGAAGAGGCAGAAAAAGAGATCTCACTAATTGAATTCCAAGAGGACTGCCAAATGGCAATTGAAAAAGAAGAAGGTGCCGTGGTGGAAAGGTGAAAGCCAAAGAACAACGTGAACTAAGATCTACGAGAGCTGCTAAACCTAACTATAAAATATAATCATGGAAGAGAAAAAATTGATTACAATTAATATAAATGGACTTAACTCAGCTGTTAAAAGAAGTAAAACCTTTCATAAATTAGAGAAATTAAAATTTGATATAATTTGTCTACAAGAAGTACATATTAAAGAACAATATGAACAATTGTTGGTAGAGCCAAAATTAGGGAAAATATTTACTTCCTTGACTCAATGTAGGAAAAGAGGAGTGGTTTTATATATTAAAGAGACCATCCCAGCAAAATTGATTTATACCAATGATGATGGAAGAATACTAATGGTGGAAATAATGGACAATAATAAGGAAACACTCCTGATTGCAATTTATGCTCCGAATGACAAACAAGAAGAATTCTACAAAAAATTACATATGAAAATAATTGAATTGGACTATGCTAATATAGTTATGGTGGGAGATTTTAATGGAATTGTAGACAATAAATTGGACTATACAGCACAGAAAACAATAAAGCAAAACAGAAAGACTCTCCCTAAATCTTTTTTTTAAATGGTAGATGAAATAAACTTAAAAGATACATGGAGAGAAAGAAATGCTAAAACTAAACAATATACCTTCTATTCAAATAGACACTTATCATAGTCCAGAACAGACATAATATGGATGTCAACAGAATTGTTAACTAATATTCAAGAAATAAATATTGAAACAAGTACTTGGGCAATCACAATCCAATGACAATTAAATGGAAAGGACAAAAAAGAAGATCTAGATGGACGTTAAATAATACTATTTTAAAGGAAAAAGACTTCACACAGTGGATGGAGAAAGAATTGGCCTTTTTCTTTGGAGAAAACAAAAAAGAAGATACATCAATTCAGAATGTATGGGATACAATGAAGGCATATGTTAGAGGCTTGATAATAGACTATACAAGGGAAAGGAATGCTAGGAAAAGGCAGGCCTCTAAGGCCCTAGAGAATGAGCATAAAAGACTTGAAAAAGAGCTACAGAAAATGCCACAGAAAAAGGACATCAAGCTAAAAATGGATATAATTAAACACAAAATGGGTCAAATAGAAAAAGAAGAATTCGCACAGAAAATTAGAGGTGCTAAGCAGAACTACTTTGAAGATGCAAACAAACCAGGTAGATGGTTAGCATACAAATTGAGAAAGGAGAAAGATTCAAGGAAAATATTGCAATTAATAGATGACCAAGGTCAAGTTTGCCATGGTAGCAAAGAGAAAAAGGAAATCATTCGAGACTATTATGGGAAACGATACACACAAGAGAATATTGATGAGGAAAGAGTTAAACAGTACTTACAGAATGCTAATTTACCTCAGATACCTAAAGAGATTGAAACAATGTTAGAAAGCAATATAACGATGATGGAGTTAACTGAAGCACTCAAGAAGCAAAATAATGGAAAGGCACCAGGCCCAGATGGACTTCCGGCAGAATTTTATAAAACATTACAAGAATTGTCGAATCTTCCATTGCTAGAAATTATGAATGAAGTTATGTTAAAGAAGAAGATACCTAAATCATGGTCAGAAGCCTATATTACACTTATTCCAAAAGAGGAGGACGATCCATTACAAATTAAGAACTATAGACCCATTTCTCTACTAAATGCAGATTATAAAATCTTCGTTTCAATATTGGCAGAAAGACTTAAAAAATATTTAAATAATTTTATCCATTCTGATCAAAATGGATTTCATTAAAGACAAAGACAATATGAAAGTAATCTTGGACACCTTGGAATACTACGTGGCACATCCTGAAAAACAAATGGCACTGATATTTCTAGATGCACAGAAGGCATTTGATAATGTGAATTGGCGATTCATGTTATTACTGCTGGAACAGATGGCTAGTTTTGCTAGAAAATTTATTCAAGCAATAGAAGCTATATACTATAAGCAAATGGCAAAGGTAATGATAGAGGGAGAACTGACAGACTCTATAAATATAAGAAAAGGAACAAGACTAGGGTGCCCACTATCACCTCTGTTGTTTGTGTTAACTTTGGAAGTGTTAAACAGAAATATTAGAGATGAAAAGAATATAAAAGGAATGAAAATCAAAAAGGAAAAAGCATTTGCGGTTGATCTGGTTTTCATCTTAGAAGACCCTTTAGAAACAGCATCAAAATTGATAGAAAAGATAGAGACATATAGAAAGGTGGCTGGTTTGAAAATAAACAAAGATAAGACAAAGATTTTGACAAAGAATATGCTATTAAGACAAAAGGAAGAACTGGCAGACCTATTGAAAATTCAGGTCACGAATAAGATCAAGTACTTGGGGATATATTTGACAGCAAGATGTAGTACATTAAAAGAGAATAATTATATTAAACTTAAACAGCAAATAGCGGTAGATTTGGCAAAATGGGAAAACTTACAACTGTCACTAATAGGAAAAAATTCAACAATCAAGATGAATATATTACCCAGAATTTTATATTTGTTTCAAACAATTCCAATTAGGCTTGGAAAAAATTACTTTGAAGATTTAAATAAAACTGTGTTGAAATATATATGGCAAGGTAAGAAAGCGAGAATAAAGTTAAAACTTTTGCAAGATGCTAGAATTAGAGGAGGATTTGGTTTGCCTAATTGGGAGTTGTACTACCAAGCTACAAATCTGATGTGGGTTAAGGAATGGATAACACTAAGAAATACTAGATTGTTGACATTAGAAGGACATGATCTGTTGTTGGGGTGGCATGCTTTTCTATGGTACAAAGGAACTAAAACACAGGGGTATTTTAGAAGACATTATATACAGGAGTCTCTGTGGTTAAACTGGGAGAAGATTAAAAGACAATGTTATTTGAAAATTCCAGTCTGGTTATCTACTATTGAAGCATTTTCTTATCCTATAATATACAAAAAGGAACAAACAGTTAGATATGGTGAAATATTGAATGAAAAGGGTGACCTTAAATCTATGCAAAAATTAGAGGAACAAGGTATAAAGATGAATTGGTTTTCATATGCGCAAATACATTCAGGGTATGATAAAGATTCTAAAACAGAGGGTTTCTATGATAAACTGACTGACTTAGATAAGATTTTGACAGGTACTGATGAAAAGGTGATTAAAAAATTGTATGGATATTTATTAGAAATTAAACTAGAAGAAGAACAAGTTAAAGAAACTATGATTGCTTGGGAGAAGAATTTTGGATATGGGATTGATTGAGAGAAATGGCAAAAAATGTGGTCTCAAAATTGTAAAATGACAATGTCAACAGCATACAAAGAAAATTTGTATAAGATGTTTTACAGGTGGCATTTGCCCCCGACAAGAATAGCAAGAATGTTCAAGAATAAATCCGAAAAATGTTGGAAATGTCATCAGACACCTGACTCATATTACCATATGTGGTGGACTTGTGCGGATGCTAAAAAATACTGGACTAAAATCCACATGTGGTTGGAAAAATGACAAAAAAGCACATAGACTTGAAACCAGAGATATTTTTATTGGGAATTTTACCTGAAACATATAGTAAAGACTTGAAATACCTAATTGTAAATGTATTAACAGCGGCTAGGATTGTATTTGCTAAAAACTGGAAAAATGAGAAAATACCATCACAGGAGGAAATCATTAAGAAAATATTGGAATGTGCTGAAATGAGTAGATTGACATTTGAAATTAGAGAACAAGAGGATAAACAGTTTTATAAAATTTGGGATCTTTTCTATCAATGGTTAGACAATAAAATACAGTAATGAATTATGTAGACTTTTAGAAAATAATAAATATACAAAGATGTACTTCTTTCTTATTATATCTACAAAATGATTTTAGGATAGATTTGGGATGGTAATATGAACTGTTATAAGATCTAAGTAAATTATGGTTATCTTGTAAAACATGAATGAATAAAAATATAGTCAAATGATTGATTAATAATGATTAGTATCATTATTAATCAGTCATTTGACTATACTTTTATTTAGGTATTTAGTTTTTGATTGACAATATGAGATTATATGTAATGTAATTGTAATTGAATACTACGAAATGGAAGCACAAAACAATTTGTAAACCAACTGGCACACTGTATGTATACATATGGAAGATGGATTCATGTTTTTATGTTTTGTTTGTTTATGTTTGTTTTTAAAAACCAATAAAATTTGGAAAAAAGAAAAAGAAAGTCCCTACAGAGAGTGATGAGGACAGCCGAGAAGATCACATGAAGCTCGCTTCCTGTCATTCATGCTTCAGCAGGGGGCTGGACTAGAAGATCTCCAAGGTACCTTCCATCTCTATTCCTAATTCTAAAAAGACGGAGGCCCTTGAATAATGGATCTGGCAATTTGGGCTAAGAGTACCAGGTTCTGAAGAAGAAGCAATGGATTAATCTGGGATCAAATAAAGGCTGAGCGCCTTGAGGTGATAATCTAGAACCCAAAATGCACATGTGTTGAAACGCACATATGTCATGTGTGTGCAACCCCGAGGGCTGCAAAGGGAAGAGTCAACAACAGACCAGAGACAGGATACTATTAAGGACAATATTTGGTACTCAGGGCCATCAGCTCCTTACCTGTCTCCAATCCAGCCTGGGTTGCAGTGAGAACACTTCCCGTTGATATGGTTGCAGGTGTGGCCATCCTTACAGGGGGGGCAGATCTGCTCACAACCCTCCCCGTAAAAGCCCGAAGAGCAGATCTGGTCACATTTGGTGCCATTCCAACCAGCTTCACAGGCCAGGCAACGGCCATCCACAATTGTACACGGCTGCAGCTCTTTGCACTGACCGCACCTGTGAAGATAGAGCAGAGAGCGTATGAAGGCCACAGGATTAAGCAGAAACCTGTTGTGGCTTGTCAGCCACCATCCTCCAGCAATCGAATCAGAGGAGGAGGAGGAGACGTGGGAGTCAGGGTCACCATCAAGGCAACCTGGGAGCTCCGAGGGGGAAGAGGGAATGGAGCTGGCAGAGAAAGAGACAGAAGTGGAGCCTGTGCCATCCGCCAGCCCTCAGATGGAGAGTCAACAGCCCCCAGGTCTGGCGGTGGCTGATGAGGAAGAGGAGGAACAGCTGGGTACAGTGCCTGACGTGCAGATGCACAGAAGGCATAGGAGAGGAGAGCAGTGGAAATCTGTGGGCCGATCCTTGGGACAGAAGAGCCACTGCTGCTAGCGAAGCCCTACCCTAGCTCTGGGAAAGCCAACGAAAATCATCAAAACCATTAAAAAGTGAAAGTTAGACTATATCGGACATGTGATGTGACACCCAGAAAATTACAGCATCCTTCACTTACTCCAAGGGAAAATTGAAGGCAAACAAGGTCCAGGTAGAAGAAGAACATCATGGCTTCAAAATCCAAGGGGCTGGATAAAACTCAACGGCACTTTTTCATGCGGCTGTTGATAAAAATAGAACCGCCAACATGATGGTCAACGTCTGATGATGGATAGGGCACAAGAAGAAGAAGAAGCAGGGCTGAACTTTGATAAAGAGACTGTTTCTTGCTCAAACTTTCTGGGAAGATCATGTGAGGGTCTGCTGGTCAGTCCAGGATGCCATTTCTCAACTTTTGCAAGCATGGTCAACTAGGGAATTCTGGGAGTGAAAGTCTGCCCCTCTTAAACGTGCCCATGATTGGGGCCCAGACCTCCGGTTTGCAGCGCTTCGGGGCAGGCAGAAATCCGCGATTGTGCGCGGTTTCTGCCTGCGCTCACCGCTGGAGTGCCCTGAGCCATCTGGCTTCAGGGCTAGCCACCTCCGTAGAAGGTGGTGAAGATAGGGGGGATCTGGCAGGGTCGAGAGATATCACACCTCTCTTCCCTAGCTGGCTAAACTCCCTTTTCCGAAGGCGGTAGAGCGGCAGTCAGAAATGGCGGCCACAAAGAAGCGCTCAGACGGGAAAAGAAACTGCAGGAGGAGTTAAGAAGAAGTGAAAGTTTTTTTGCTGACCGGGACAAAGCAACAACAAAGGTACCCTGGAACTTAAAACTTGCAAAAGATACATCGTTCCCAGAGATTTACAAGTGGTGAATGGAAGTTAAAAGGGAAAGTTCTATTTTTTTCACTCTCCTTCCTAACGTTGACAGCGAGCAGAAAAAAAAATTCTCTTTTGTTGTAAGTGGGAAGGGAGAGGAAAAGAACTGGAGTAGGATTTGGAAGCAAGGAGGAGATTGCCTAGAATTTTAAAGAATCATTAAATACTAACAAGACTTCTAAAAGATACATTTTAACTGGAATATTGCAACTAAACAGTAACCCCAGAAAGAGAAAGTGAAGAAAGAAGAAAGTGCTAAAAGAAACAGCTTATTTGGACTGTTTGGTGACTTTGGGACTTTTGGAAATTATCTTTGAAGGACTAAAAAACACTTGGGTGGTTGTTTTGAAAAAAAACAAAACATTTCTCTCTACAATGGCATCACTTGTGGATGAATTGAAAATTGAATTCAAAAAATACAAAGAAGAGGAACAAGAAGGGAAGGACTCTCTTGGCTCTCTTTTGCAATTCTTAGAAATGGCGATTTGCACCTATGAGAAACTGACTACGCAACAAGATGATTTGGACAAATAAGAAGCCATCTTTGATGAACAAGTAACTTTATTTGGGGAAGAAAGGGAGAAGGGGGAAAAGAAAAAGGAGACTTTAAGACTTAAAAAAACAACCAAAAAAGAGAAAAATAAGGTGAAAAGTGGATATAATATTAGAAAACAACAGAAAGGGGGAATACAGAAGAGGAAAAGGGAGGTGGAGAGACAAGGGGGTAAAAAGGGCAGGGAGAAGAAGAAGCAAGGGAGGAAGGAAGGGATGAGAAGCTTCAGTGGTGTGGAGCAAGATGTAAAGAAACAAGATTCATTTAGAGATAATGGGCAAAAATTTAATTCAAAAAGGGATTCTGCAAAGGTACATAAGATTGTATTGTTATATTTGTACTTAGAAATAATGTTAGAAAATTGGAAACAACATGTGATCAAAACATGGGATAAAATATTCAGTGTAATTTAGTGAAATTTTTGTGAATAAAAGGAAGGCAATGAAATAAATGAGAGAATTGAAGTAGGAAGAAATGGGAACATTTTAATGATACAATGATTTAAAATACAAGTGATGTGAAGTGGGGGGGAAATAACTATGGAAAGCTTATGAGTGTTCCCATAAAAGTATGATATTCAATCAAAAAATAATGTGTAAAATGTTTAAGATTCAAATGAATATTAATATTAATGATAGATTTGAATTGGTATGGATTGTTGTTTTAATTATATTACATATTTACAATTTTTTCTTTCTTTAAAATATAATGTGTAACTTTAGAATGTACTAAACAGAATCCCAATGGAAGCTATGTACTATACTAAGTGTTATAAATTTAGGGGAAAGAGATAAAGGCGTCATACTCCAATTAGTGTACAGGAGAAATTTTGTTTAAAGAGAAAAGATAAATAGACAGCAGGAAACAGAACAGACAAAGAATAATAAGTATAATGATCTGAACTGAGATGAGATAAATAAGATAAAACTAAGGAGTTCAAAAGAGGGGAGAAGCTGCATAGAAAACGTAAAAGGGTAATAAGATATGGAATGGTATATAAAACGAACATGAATTTAAACTTGTGTCTGTATGAAGAGATGTAACCTGGGATCAAGCAGCTTTCAGAAAAGATGTTTTATGTTTTTATGTTTTATGTTTTGTTTGTTTGTGTACTGTCTTTGAAAATTAATAAAATTTGTTTAAAAAACAAAAACAAAAAACGTGCCCATGATTGAGAAACGCTGCCCTGCACTGCGCTGAGGAAAGGCGCAAAGGGGGCCGGGCACGAGGTGAGCCTCTCCGAATCCCGGGGGTGGGTGGGAGACCCTCCAAAGGGGCTCCTGCTTACCGTCGCCTACAGCCTTGTCCATAGAAGCCGGCCGGACAGGCCTCGCGGCAGAACTTGCCCCGGTAGCCTGGCTCGCAGGTGCAGGTCCCATCTACCTGGTTGCACTTCCCCATATGACACTGGCAGTAGCGGTCGCAGCGGGGGCCAAAGGTGCGGCTGCGGCACTGGCAACGCCCCGTGAACTGCTCGCAGGGTGAGTTGCTGCAGGCACACTGGTTGTTGCAGGTGCGGCCCCACCAGCCCGGCTGGCAGAGGCAGAGGCCGGTCTTCTGGTCGCACTGTGAGTTGAGGCTGCAGTAGCAGGCGCTGGCACACTGGGGGCCCCACCAGTTCGGCTCGCAGGAGCACTTGCCCGTCTTCTGGTCACACTTGCCGTGTTTGCAAGGGCAGACGTTCTCACACCGTGGGCCCCAGCGGTTGGCATTACATGTGCATTGGCCCGTCACGTCCTCACACTGCCCGTTGGGATAGCAATTGCACAGCTCTTTGCAATCCGGGCCCCAAAAGAGGCGGGGACACTCTGCAGGGGACGAGAGGAGCAGGTGAGCACTAGGGAGGGTCTTGCTTCCCATATTGCTACTGTTCACAAGACTCTACAGCCCCCTTTAAGCGGTTTACAGAGTCAGCCTCTTGCCCCCAACAATCTGGGTCCTTATTTTACTGACCTCGGAAGGATGGAAGGCTGAGTCCACCTTGAGCCTGGTGAGATTCGATCTGCCCAATTGTAGGGAGCTGGCAGTCAGCAGAAGTAGCCTGCAGTACTGCCTTCTAACCACTGAGCCACCGTGGCTTAATGCTTAGTTAATTTCTGTACCACATTCATTTTAGATCTTTTTTAAATTTCAGTTTGGGATTTGATATTTTCATTATCATTCAGTCCCACGGGTCTTTGATTAAATTGAAAGATGAGATTTAAATCACAGAGGGAAAGGTCCTCTGGGGCTGAGTCAGCCTCAAAATGCTACTAGTAAATTTATTTATTTATGTATTACATTTCTATTTAATAAATTTAAATTGGGAAAGTAAATTGGATTGGAGTTGCCACTCGCACTCAGAGTCAACAAATTGCATTTATTAGAAAATCTTCTTTGCACTTAAAGCAGGTGCCTCCAAACTTGGTAGGTTGAAGATGTCATGCCCCCGTGAATCCGAGGAGGAAGATGAACAGCCATCAGGGAACAGGAGAGTGGCTCTGCTGGCTGTGGAGGAAACTGGGGAAGGGCAAAGTCAGGCTGGGCAGATCAGGAAAAAGGTAGAACAAGGGAGAGGAGGTTCAGAGGAAGACCAAGGCAGACCTCTTCTTCATCCTAGGGCACAGGGAAGAATGGAGAAGAGAGCAACCTGGGTTGCATGGCTTATGGGGGAGGAGAGGGCCCTGATTCCCTTCACAAGACACACCTGGGGAGGGAGTTTAAAGGAGAGGCAGATAGGAGGGATGGTTGTTGGGAACAAACGTTGAGTTTATCTTGTGTTGGCTGCTATTATCGGAGTTCCTGACATCCTCCTAACTGGTTTCATTACCGCCATGTTACTTTATTTCTGGAACTCTGCATCTTGCTCTGCCAGATTTATTACATTATTTTACCTTGTTGGATTTATAGTTTAAAGTTTTCAGTTTACAACGTTTGGACTGGAATAACTGCAGCCAAAGACTGTTGCAAGTTCGTGGGAGAGTTTTTTCTCCAGACGAGAAGATAACCAGGTCATTGGAGGCAAAATTGGAGCTAAGAAAGGAACTGATCCTTATTCTCTGGTTGTGTCGCCTTTGTGCCACACCCCAGTCATCACAGAAGACTTGTGGACTTTAACTCCCAGAATTCTTCAGTCACCATGACTGGCTGGGAAATTGTGGAAGTTGAAGTCCACAAATCTTAAAGTTGCCAAGTTTGCACTGAAACTATCCTGTTTTGTTGGTTAACAAAACCCTTCCCTTTCTCACAGCCTTTCCTCTGAGAATGCAAGGAGATGGAACAGCAAGGCAGGACGTTGGTGACAGACCTGGAGACCCCAAGTGAGGGTCCTGGGATGGGGGTGGATTTGAACCGAGGTCTTCCTAGCCTCTGGCCTCTGAGAAGCCCCCAAGCAGCACCCAAAATCGAGGTTAAAAAGATGAGATATTAAATCGAATATCATCGTCTCCCTTCCTCATTTATCTTCTCTGCTGGACAGCTGGGAATCCTCAAATCTGGATGCTGCATGAGTGGGAACTCTTGGTCTGGGTGGGACTGGGGGGCTCTGGGCCCAGATGGTGGCCCGTATTTCCTCTCCCCCCCGCTCCCCCTCCCCGCCCTCCCCAGTCTGGAGGATGCTCCCACACTTACTGGTTTCGCAGTTGGCCCCAAAATAGCCATGGCGACAGCGACACTCGTTGGGCCTCACACACACCTCGTTGTTGGTACAGGTGAAGTTGCCCTCGCAGACGGCTGCAGGGAGAGAGAAGAGAAGAAGGTAAGGGGGCTCCAGGGGCTTCCCCCCATCCCATCCCCTCCCCTCCCCACACCTGGAGATTTTGCTGTGGGATTTTTGGCTTGGAGAGAAATCAACCAGGAGGACACAAAGAAACAACCACATCCCGGCTAGTTCACCATGATTTATACCGGGGTCGGTGGGTGGGTGGGGCGTTGCCAGCTCGATATCACTCATGTCGGCGGGGGGGGGCACCTGTGGTGGCCAAGTACTAAGGCGGGACTTCCCTCAGACCCTCCCTCCCTCTCATTATAATCTCCTTCCTTCCTTCCTTCCTTCCTTCCTTCCTTCCTTCCTTCCTTCTATGGTGCGCAGTGTTAGAAGGTAATATTGCAGGCTAGTTCTACCACTGCCATTAATTCAATTCCGACCGGCTCAAGGTTGACTCAGCCTTCCCTCCTTCCGAGGTTGGTAAAATGAGGAACCCAGATTGTTGGGGGCAGTAGGCTGACTGTTAGAGGGGGCTGTGAAGCAGTATATAAGTCTAACTGCTATGGCCAATCCTTCCTTCCTTCCTTCCTTCCTTCCATGGTGCGCAGTGGTTAAAAGGTAGTATTGCAGGCTAGTTCTACCCTCTGCCATTTCCTTTCACTCTTTCCTTCTTTTTCCTTCCTTGCTCTCTTCCCATCTTCCCTTCTTTTTCTTTGTCTTTCCTCTTTCCCCTTTCCTGTACCCTTCTTGCATGCTCAAATGCAAAAGGGGAAAGATTTCTCCTTTGGTTTTGTTTTCAGGTTGTTTTGCTAGCCCTCCACCAGGGAAAACGGGGCCCAGGGGAGCCCTCCCAAGCCCCAGGTTTGCTGGCAGGAGCCCCCGCGGGCCTTGAGTTTGCCACCCTGGTTTAGACAGCCTCCAGCCTGGACTGCAAGCTGAAGTTGTGCAGCAAATGATCAATTCCACCTCCCCACTTTTCCAGATCTTATTTTAAAGCTTTTATCTTGCAGGTTGCTAATGGCGGGGCAGGGAAGGTGACCTATGCCTCCCAGGAGCCCCCATAAGCCTCAGGTTGCCAATTCAGGCCATTGCATCCACGGGGAAAATGTCAGATCAAAACCTGGGCTCCCCCCCAAAAGAGCTCCTCCTGCAAGGGGCGGGGGGGCAGCAAAGGGAAATTTGCCCAACGCCTCCCAAAGGGTCGGGAACCAGCTTTGAGGCAGGATTAGAGGCTGAGTTAGTTGGAGCAGAGAGAGAAAGGGGGGGGGGAGAAATGAGGGAAGGCAGCCCACCAGGGATGGCACAATGTCCACCAGAGGGAAGGTGGCATACTTACCCCGCTGATGAGTGGAGAGTTACAGCTCCCTGGCACATGGTGGGCAGCCTCCGTCAGTCCAGGGCAACGAGGGCGCATGCAAAGGAGGAGTTAAGGAAGTGGTTAGTGCAGGGACCCCAAACTTGGCCACTTTAAGACTTGTGGACTCCCAAAATTCTCCAGCCAGCTCTGCTGGCAGTTGAAGTCCACAAGTCTTAAAGTGGCCAAGTTTGGGGTCCTCTGGGTTAGTGCATCTGTGAAGGAGTTTGAGGAAGGTTAGTTGGTTATTTTCCAGTTTTTCCAAAGACAGGCAAGAGGAGGGGGAATGGCACAATCCCACCCGGAGGCTTCGGAGGGCAGCTTCAAGGGACACTCTGCACGCCCTGACCCCGAAATCGACCGGTACCACGCAAAGCCATGGAGTTTGCTCAGTCCTGCTGGAGCTCAGCACAGCCCTTGGACAAATGGACCTTAGTCCCTCACCACTCCAATGAAATCAATCAATCTGAATAGAGTTGGAAGGGACCTTGGAGGTCTTCTAGTCCAGCCCGCTGGACAAGCAGGAGAACCTATATCATTTCAGGCAAGTGGCTGTCCAGTCTCTTCTTAAAAACCTCCAGTGATGAAGCATCCACAACTTCTGGTGGCAAGCTGTTCCACTGGTTGATTGTCCTTATACTGTTAGGAAGTTTCTCTTTAATTCCAGGTTGCTTCTCTCCTTTAATAATTTCCATCCGCTGTTTCTTGTGTTGCTTTCTGGTCTTTGGAAAATAGGTTGAGCCCCCCCCGCCTTCTTTGTGGTAGCCCCGCAAATATTAGATGATTTCTATCAGGTCACCCTTGTCCTTCTTTTCTCTAGACTGGCCCTACCCAAACCCTGCAGCCATTCTCCAGGCCTTTAATCAAACTTTGTTGCTCTTCTCTGCACTTTTTCCAAAATTCTCAACATTCAAAATTCTTTTTACAATGTGGTGACCAAAACTGGATGCCGTATTCCAGGTGTGGTCTTACTAAGGTTTTACAAAGCAGCATGAATACTTCATGTGATTTTGATTCTATGCCTCTGTTCATACAACCAAGGATTGTATTAGCTCTTTTGGCTGCTGTCACACACTGTTGTCTCATATTTAAGTGATCTTCTTTGGAAGACAAAATGGATTATAAATATACAAATATAAAAATGGTGCATCAACTCCGACTTCAGGGTTTTTGCAGACACGTCACCGGTGCTTATGCGAGACTCTGCTAGCTTCTTCCCAGCCAATCCGGGCCCAACCTGTCTTCCAGGTCAGCCACACGGTCAGCCAGGGGCTGCTATTCTGCTGTACTCAAAATGTAGTCACATTGTCATCTCTGCTGGCCTTTGTCCCTCCAATGGCATCCCCAATTTTGCTGCCTCTCCAGCCCCCTTTGCCCAAGACCGACTTTGGCTCTGTGGGGCTGGCCGATGCCTCCCTCCAGCCTCTCAGTGCTTAGCATGCCCTCCCCTTCTGTGACCAGGGGGCCCTGCCTGGTTTGCCGAACCCAAGACCCGACAAGGCATCTCCTGAAAATCCTCACCCCACCTGCAATCTCCAGGGGGCCTGGGAGAGGGTTCATAGCCACTTCACCCTTAGCAACATTTGCAGAGACTCTGGTTTGGTTACAGCCTTCAACGCTTCTTCCTGTCTCTGAGGCCCCAGGCGTTAAATTCAGTGAGGCTGGCAAGGTCTCCCTGTCGGGGGGGGGGGGCTACTGGGGGTTCACAGGGGTTCGGAAGAGCTAAGATTCTATGCAGTTCGGCGAACCCCCAAATCCCACTCCTGGCTGGCCCCGCCCACCCCTCCCAGGAGTCCCCACACAGCCCATTTTGGATGCAGGTAAGTGCAGGGCCTGCACGGAGGCTCGGAGAGGATGGAAAACGGGCCTCCCGGAAGTTCGGGAAGGCCAGATATGGGCCCGTTTCTGGCTTCCACAGAGCCTCCGGAGCCCGGGGGAAGCTGTTTCTGCCCTCCCAGAGGCCTGAGGAAAGCCTCTGGAGTCCAGGGAGGGCAAAAATGCTCCCCCTGCCATGGAGCAGGAGGCTGACTAGGCCACACCCACCATGGCCACGCCCCCCCAGCAATCGGGCAGAGAACCCTTTGCTAAAATGTATGAAGCCCACCCCTGCTCCCTGTGGACCAGACCCTCTGTGCCAAGCAGAGGGGGGATTTAGCCAGTTCTGACCAGTTCTGGAGAACCGGTAGCAGAAATTTTGAGTAGTTCGGAGAACCGGCCAATCCCACCTCTGACTGGCCCCGCTAACCCCATTTCTTCTCTGCCTCCCATCGAGTCCCATCTGATTGGCTGGGTCTCCTTTGGTTGCCCTGCCCAGGAGAATGGAGCTGGAAAGCAGGTTAGTGGGGTGGGGAGGGAGATTTTGCAGTATCCCCTGCCACGCCCACTAAGCCACGCCCACAGAATTGGTAGTAAAAAAATTTGAATCCCACCACTGGTGCCAAGGACGGGGAATTTGCAGCCTGGGGGTGGACGGCACGTTCCTCCAAAGCGAGCAGGAGGAGGAGGAAGCGGCGGCCAGCTGTTGCCGGCTAGAAATGCAGCCTCCTGCTCATCTTTTTAAAAAAGGGGTGTCAAATGGGATCCACCATTGTAGTTCTCCTCCACGCACCCCCAGCCCTCTTTTGGCTGGCCAGGTGCCGCAGGAGGCTGTCCAGGCTGACAATGCGCTGCGCGTTTGGGCCCCCGTTGCCCTGTTCTGGCTTCCAGGGGCCCAGAGGTCTTCTGCCATTTCAAAGCTGGCCCCAGAGGCCAGATTTAAGCACTGCGGGCCAGGAGTTGGACACCCCCAGATTAGATGGTTGAACTGGCACAAAACGTATTTCCATTAAACACACACACACACACACACAAGAGCTGGATAACCTTGGATCCTAAGGAGAGGGGTGCACGAGTGGCGCCACCTCCAGCCTCCCAAACCTTCACCTCTGGCTTGGCTCCCTAGAACAGAGGCAGAAACCTCCAGCTGCTTCCAAGCTGGATATTTCCTCCCTCCCCACACACACACACACACACACACACACTCCAGTGAATTTGCACACTGCATTCTTCTGCGGCTTTGCTCTTGGCCATTTCCACCTCCCCTCCCTCCCCTCCCCCGAGCTCTGGAGACCAAGCGCATTGCAAAATGTGGCTGGGCAGGAAAGGAAGAGGCCCCCCCCCCCCCAGCAGCTGGGACAGCAGCACATTGACCAGGCGTCTAAAAATAACTTCTCCGAGTTTTTCCCATCGGCGCCTTGGGACTCCAAGTCCCGAGAACGCCCAGCTTGCCTTGCCTCTTCGGCCCCTCCTCTGCCTGCCAGAGACTGGAACCGGAACCCCCGGAGGCCAAGTTCCAGCCGGGCCGGCCGCAGACAATGGCGCACGCAGCGAGGCAGCCCCGAGCTCGGATCGCGCTGGAGTTCCAGGCTCAGGGAGCTTGGCCGGGAAGCCACAGACGGACTCTGGGCCTTCGCGGTCAACGCAAATTCTGCAGCAAGAAAAGCCTGCAAAAATTAAGCTTTTTTTGGGGTGGTGGTGGTGGTGTCTAATCTGATACCACTAAGCCAGGGTTTCTTCAGGCTGGCCACTTTTTTAATGCAAAGCCAGCCAATGAGGTAAGTTTGTGCTTCAACATACCATGAGAATCTGAAAGCTCGGTTGGCTCAGTAACCAGTTCAAGCATGCTGGGCGAGCTGAACCAAATTGAGCCCATTGCTCAATATATTTGGCCAGTTTTGTATACATTGGGTTAATTCAGTGCAATCAGATTGACTGTGCCAAGTAAACCCACACAGGGTGCTGTGCTCACTCCTTGAGGCAGAGACGTCAGCCCTGGGGGTCTAAGACAATGCGCTGCAGCCAACTCACTACGGCCATCGCGTCACAGCCAAACCGCCATGGCCAACCCACTGTAGGACCCCTCCCTGTGGAACAAGAGTTACACCAACATCAAAGAAATGGTGGAATAGGATCATGAAAGAAAGGAAGAAAAAGGAGGGACAGAATGAAACGGGAATGACAAAAATGAATGTATTCTTTTGCTTATTTTAAATAAGTAAGTTGAATTGCTAAATTGTCCTGTGGTGAATTGGCCGTGGCAGGTTGGCTGCAGCAAGTTGTCCCATTCTGCAGCTCCATTCCCAGGTAGATGAAACAGTTAGTGAAGCAGAAATATTAGCGTTCCCCCAGGGGACCTTCCTCACAGTCAACCCGCCCCAAGGTTCAACATTTGCCCATCAGCCCGCTATATACCCACCAAGGCCCACTGGGGAAATAGAAGAGGCAGGGTCGCTCTCTCTTGCCCCAAACTCCATGGAGGCTCGTGCAGAGCTGACTGGCCTTGAAAAAAGAAACAGGTGAGATCTTACCTATGGGGCACTCCTCCTCTTGCTGTCTCCATCCTGGGCAGCAAACAAATCCAGAGGACCTGCAGAGGAGACATAAGTCAGTTAGAAAATTACCAAGGATCTTCACATCCCAGGTCAAGCTAAAGGACACGTGCAAAGCCTCCTGGGGACTTGGAAAGGCCACGCTGCAAGAGGTAAACCTCTTCCTCGCCTCCTTCACGGCCGCCTTCTCTGCACCCAGGTCCACAGCACTAGTGTGCCTGGCCAATACAGCCCACTCCTTGCCCTTACTTCCCCCTCCACAAGAATGGCAACAGATCTATGAATAAGCCGCGGTGGCACAGTGGTTAGAGTGCAGTACTGCTGACTGTCGGCTGCCTGCCATTGGGCAGTTCAGGTCCTGCCAGGCTCAAGGTTGATTCAGCCTCCCATCCTTCCGAGGTGGGTAGAATGAGGAGCCAGATTGTTGGGTGTTGACTCTGTAAACCGCTTAGAGAGGACTGTAAAACACTGTGATGCGGCATATAAGCCTAAGGCCTATTGCTGTTGCTATTCTCCTTCCTTCCTTCCTTCCTTCCTTCCTTCACACAATAGTTAGGATGCAGTATTGCAGGCTAATTCTGCCCACTGCGAGCAGTTCGATCCCCACTGGCTTATGGTTGACTCAGCTTTCCATCCTTCCGAGGTTGGGGGCAATAAGCCTACTCTGTAAACCACCTAGAGCGGGCTGTAAAGCACTATAAAGTGGTATATAAGTCTAAATGCTATTGCTATGAATAGTAGAGATTATTTTTTTCAGCTTAGCCGCAAAAGTCACCAAATAGTAGATTTACATCCTAAAGAAGATTTGGAGCAACAGGAAGCTGGGAATACTGAACTTTCTCACTGACATGTTCAGATCACAGGTAAGCAGACAATTGCTACAGAGTCCCCCACACAGATCCCACAACATTGTGTTGTGATCTTCCTAGCAACCCCGAGAGCAACTTCATCTCTGCTTTGGGTCTCAGCCCTCTGAAGATGACAAACACATGAGAAGGACCACTTATACCAGAGTGGACTTCAACTCCCAGAATTACGGGAGTTGAAGTCTACAAGTCTTAAAGTTGCCAAGTTTGGGGACCCCTGGCTTATACCAAAGTAAGCAAAGCACAGTTATGAAATAAAACCAACAGCAACATGACTAAAACCAGGAGAAAACTTCCAACCACAAATCCTTTCCACCAGTTTCCTGATGACTGCATTCAAATGTAGAAAGTTAGCACCCACCCCTCTCCTGGAAGAATGAAATGTTTTGAGAAATATAAAAAGGCAGAACATTGTATTTCCTTGGGTGAGAAATGGAGAAACATGCTATTAGAAAGCAGCCCCCACCTTCCTTAATAGCCCTCAACAGATGTCAGGACTTAAGAGATAAAGAGCTTATTGAGGTCTAGATAACTCTATTCATAGGCAAATATTCCCTGCAACAAGGTCTGAAAAAGGTAGGATTAGCCCTCAGCCACAATAGGAATAGCCCAACAAACCCCTTCACTGCATCAGCCAAACTTCAACCAAGCTTAGCTCAGACAAACTCCTAGGATTTGTACATGGCCCCGTGGGAGTCTGACAACAGCCAATAGAACACATGTCCTTGCACAGGAACAGGAAGCTCATGCAAAGCCCAGAGAAGGTATAAATAACTCTCACTCTCAACTCCATGTGGTCAGCTGCCCGGAACCACCCATGTGGTTCTGTTTCATCATTAAACTATCTTTCCAATCAGCCTCCATGTTTTGGAAGAAATATCCATCTCAATCATGAATGATCAGTTGCAGCCATCAATGGCTGCCCATCCCTAATTTGATAATACACATTCTGTGCTGGCTCAGAAAGCTCAAACTGCCCAAGGAGCTGCTGGTCCAGTTCTACAGAGGAAGGATTGAGTCTGTCATCTGCACCTCTATAACTGTCTGGTTTGGCTCTACAAAGACACAGACTCCAGAGAGTAATTAGGACTGCAGAAAAAACAATGGCTACCAACCTGCCTTCCATGGAGGACCTGTATACTGCATGAGTCAAAAGAGGGCTGTGAAAATATTTACAGACCCCTCACATCCTGGACATAAATTGTTTCAACTCCTACTCTCAAAACGACGCTATAGAGCACTGCACACCAGAACAACTAGAAACAAGAACAGTGTTTTTCCCCTGAATGCCATCGCTCTGCTAAACAAATAATTCCCTCAACACTGTCCAACTATTTACAAAGTCTGCACTACTATTACTATTAACTTTCTCATCACTCCTTATCACCCATCCCCTCCCACTTGTGACTATATGACTGCAACTTTGTCGCTTGTATCCTTACGATTTATATTGACTGTTTCCTAGTATGATTTGATTGCTTATTGTACCCGATGACTATTATTAAGTGTTGTACCTGATTATTCTTGACAAATGTATCTTTTCTTTTATGTACACTGAGAGCATTTGCACCAAGACAAATTTTTCTAGAAATAAAGAATTCTGTTCTGTTCCGTTCCGTCCCGTCCCATCCCATCCCATCCCATCCCATTCTTATTCTATTCTACTCCTCTATTCTACTCCTTCTATTCTACTCTATTTCATTCCTTTCCATTCTATTCTATGAAGTTGTAGAATCCTAGGATGGGAATTGACTTTGGCGATCTTCTAGTCTAACTCCTGCCCAAGGCAAAAGTTCTTTTAAAAAAAATAAAATAAAAATAAAATTGGCTTTCTATTAAATACATTTCTTAGTGCTTAATGAACATCCTGTTGTCTGGGTAACTATTGCATAATCATTATAACATTGCATCCTACAACACCTACGCAAGGGTCCTCTTTGTAGACTTCAGTTCAGCATTCAATACCATCATTCCAGACACTCTTCTAAGTAAATTAAACCAACTAGTGGTACCTGAACACACTTGTAAATGGATCATAAGCTTCCTAACAGACAGAAAGCAGCAGGTGAAGCTAGGCGGAATCACCTCCGATACCTGTACAATCAGCACAGGCCCCTCCTCAAGGCCGTGTGTTATCTCCACTTCTCCCTATATATCAATGACTGCATCTCAAACGATCCATCTGTTAAAATACTGAAGATTGCTGATGACACAAAAGTGACTAGTCTCATTCGAGACAACGATGAATCTGCATACAGACAGGAGGTTATACAACTTGCCTCGTGGTGTAACAGGAACAATCTGGAACTGAACACACTCAAAACCGTAGAAATGGTGGAAGACTTTAGAAGAAACCCTCCCATACTACCACCTCTTAAAATACGAGACAACACAGTATCAACACTAGAGACCTTCAAATTTCTAGGTTCTACTATATCACATGACCTAAAATGGACACCTAACATCAAAAACATCATCAAAAAAGCACAACAAAGAATGTTCTTTTTGCGCCAACCCAGAAAGCTCAAACTGCCCAAGGAGCTGCTGATCCAGTTCTACAGAGGAATGGTTGAGTCTGTCATCTGCACCTCTATAACTGTCTGGTTTGGCTCTGCAACCCAACAGGACAGACAGAGACTTCAGAGGATAATTAGGACTGCACAAAAAACAATTACTGCCCACCTGCCTTCAATTGAGGACCTGTATCCTGCACGAGTCAAAAAGAGGGCTGTGAAAATATCTACAGACCCCTCACATCCCCGACATAAACTGTTTCAACTCCTTCCCTCAAAACGATGCTATGGAGCACTGCACACCAGAACAACTAGACACAAGGACAGTTTTTTCCCCCAAAAGCCATCACTCTGCTGAACAAATAATTCCCTCAACACTGTTCAACTATTACAAAGTCTGCACTACTATTACTGTTAATCTTCCCATCACTCCTTATCACCCATCCCCTCCCACTTGTGATTGCAGGACTGTAACTTTGTTGCTTGTATCCTTACGATTTATATTGACTGTTTCCTAGTATGATTTGATTGTTGTTTGTACCCTATGACTATCATTAAGTGTTGTACGTTATGATTCTTGATTCTTAATTAATGTACCTTTTCTTTATGTATACTGAGAGTATTTACACCAAGGCAAATTCCTTGTGTGTCCAATCACACTTGGCCAATAAAGTATTCTATTTTTATTTCTATTTCTATTTCTATTCATTCTTAATCTCCAACTCTTTTTTTCCAGCCACTGGTAAAATAAGATTCCATGTTTGATAATAATCTGCATCTTCTTTCAGTTTAATTTTCAGTGTTATTGTTCATTTCTACACAATCTAATATCTTTTTGACTATCTCTTTGTCTCGCAGTATATCTTCATTTTTCCAGTATTGTGCAAATATAATCCTCACTGCTATTAAACCATGTAATGTTAAATACATACTTTTCTTATCAATTTTCTTACCAAGGCAAAAGTTCTTATACTATCCCAGACAAAAGGTTGTCCAATCTTTTCCTGAGAATCTCCAGTAATGGAACACTCACATCTTCAAGAGGCAAGATAAGATAGATCATTTTCAACTTAACAACCATTCATGGGCAACTGCTTGGAGTTACAACAGCACTGAAAAGAGTGACTTATGATAGATCTTATGACTTGTGACTGTTGCAGCATCCCCACAATCATGTGATCAGAATTTGGCCCCTTGGCAACCGGCATATTATTTATGGTGGCTGCAGCATCCCTGGCTCAAATGACCAACATCTGTGAGCTTCCCAGCTAACTTCTGACACACAAATTCAATGGAGGAAGCTCGGTTTGCTTAATGACTGGGTGACTCACTTAGCTGCAGTGATTCATTTAACAACAAAGGTTGAGACTTTGGGAAAAGGGCAGAGAAGAGCAACTAAGATGATCCAAGGCCTGGAGACTAAAACGTATGAAAATAAACTGCAGGATTTGCGTTTGGCTAGTCTAGAGAAAAGAAGGACTAGGGATGATATGATCGTATTACAGTATTTGAGGGGCTGTCACAAAGAAGGGGTCAAATTATTCTCCAAAACAGCGGAAGGCAGGACAAGAAATAATGGTTGGAAACTAATCAAAGGAAGAAGCAACTTAGAATTAAGGAGAAACTTCCTTAACAGTGGGAACAATTAACCAGTTTGCC